TCACGTGCTCAACTTCAACAATATTTTATCCCATACATTCAATTACTCATTACCTACACCTTGTCCCGTCACGTTGTCACCATCTTATATATTCCAGACTACCCTATATCTAGTAATCTCCCGACAATTCACGAAGGTTCGAGGAAGAAGTGGCGTGATACTAGTCACGTGACCTCGCTGACGCAACAATATATTTGACTCCGTTCAGTAAGAAATGGTAAGTTTAAGATGACTTACTTTGAAATATTGGCTTATATGAGAAGTTACCATGAGTAATGAGTCAGATAAAAATCAAAGTTTTATCTTAATTTCTGGTATCACACAGCTTTCTAGCACCAATAGTGCCATCCCGCGCTTTAACTACCTAGGCATACTTATATTTTAGTTTAATTTTTTGTTATGTTTCCTTTGTAATATAATTTTAAAGATATTATTGTCAGATGTTATGCTTTATTGTAACCTTATTATTTTATAATAAAGAAGAGTACTGATGAGTTTGTTTATTTTATCACAAAGCTAACAATTGGCTATATACGCTCTATCCACCGTGGGAAATCAAATCACAAATTTTAGCGTTCTAAATGCGTAAAATTACCACTGACCAACCGTAGAACGTCATTTTACTGAGGAAAGAACTTTTCAGGTGATGATTGTCTTGAGATGCTAATATCGCGACATCTTTCGATAAGTTAAGAAAACTCAAAAATAAACTTTATATAGGCTCGAAATGATACTACTAACTGTGGTAACATAGTCAGTGTCGATAGTATGGCGGAGGCAGTTGAAGGTGGTTCAAGATTCTTTTGTCACAAATGTTTCGATGAAATTAATCCTATTTTACCTGTAAGTTTTTGTTATAGTCATTAGAAACTTTAAACAGAATGGAACATATTCAAATCTTTATACCATATTATGTAGTAAAGTGGTATTACTATTAACACCTATCTTAATATTAATAATCAACATATACTTTAGATTATAACTTAGGTATATAAGTGTAATTAAGCCTAAGGACGAGTAACGTAGACATAGCGTTATGCCTGGCATGACCCAGTGGTTAGGGCACTCGACTCGCAATTTGCGGGTTCGCGAGTTCTAATCCCGTCACCGAACACGCTCGTCATTTCAGCGATGGGAGCGTTATAATCCCCGATCAATCCCACTATTCGTTAGCAAAGAGTAACCCAAGAGGTTGGTTGGTGTTGGGAACTAGATGCCTTCCCTCTACTCTACCCTAGTGTATGTATTAAATTGCAGATAACCTCCAGGAAGTTTTAATTTAAACGAAATTCAACAACGATTTGTGAAGTAATGTTGGCCTACATTATCTGACCTGATGTCCCCATGCCTACCTTAATCAAAAGTAATAGTGAAAAGAGAAATAAAGTTGAGTTGTTAATTAAGGCTTGCATACAAGTTGTATCATAACAATTAAGGTAAAAAATAATGATAATTATGGACACCAGGACAGTCAAGATTTCAAAGTGTAATATTTGCAACTGATACAAAGGTAACTGAAAAGGAAATGATCAGGAATACGACATATAAATAATGAAATGTAGCAGAATTTAGAAATATTAAAGACATTGTAGTGTTCTATTCTTAGTTTTTAAATGGTAGGTGTGAAAACCAAATAAGAAATTATGTATTCAAAATGCTTACTTAAAATTGACAAAAATACATTTGAAATTGCTTTTCTTATGGTCACACAACTCAATTCCTGTTACTTTTGTAAGTTTTATCAAAAAGCATAGTTTCTAAATTAATGTACAGTTTTATAAATAAACAAGCCATCTTCCAAAGCCTTTTAAAATATATTTTTTATATTAACAAAGTAGAGCAGAATAGTTTATTTCAATAACTATTTTAAAATAAAAATGAAACATGTTTTCCCTTGAATCATTTAATTCGTACACAAAACAAAAAAGAGTCAGATGAGCCGCATTTTCACATAATCATTGTAATTCAAAGTTAGTGATTAAAGTTGTAAGATGCTGGTATCAAGCCAAATTTCATTTGAGAGATTAGGAATATATCTAAGCTACAAATCTTGAAAGTTTGTAATTAAAAGATTTTCTATGTGGCTAAATACCCAGCTGCACACTTTGAAAGAGGGGAAAATTTTGTAAAGGACAATTTTCCTACTGCTTGATTGTTTGGGGTGGGGATGAATGCAGGGTCTCATGTTGTCCAGAGGGTGTTGGTATCAAGTTAATTTTCATGTGAAAGAGTAGTAATGAGACATATGAGGAAGTCCTGAAAGTTTGAAGGACTTTCTATGCAGCTAAATACCCAGCTGCACATTATCATTACCAGATTTGTGGAAGATTTTTGTGTTAAAACTGTTGACAAAACAAAAGACAAATAGATGGCCTAAGCATGGGCAGCCCTCTGTCACCTGGATTATGTTTATTGTGTATCAAAAAAACAAAGGCCATTAACACAGCTGTACACCCTCCAAAATACTGGGTTAGATACATTGAAGATGTATTTTGTGGATTTGAAGACAAAAACCATCAACAGTTATTTCTACAATGTTCACTCTAACATCAAATCCACTCATGAAGAAGAGAATGAAAACCAGGTTTTAAATTACATTAACATAACAATAGAAAGAAATTTCAACAGTTTTTAATATGAAAATCTTCCACAAATCTGGTAATGATAAAAACTATATAAAGTGGGACTCGGTCCACTCAACTCTACAAAAAAAAAGGCACATTGTCATGCATTTACAACACAGCATTTAACGTGTAGTAGCAGTAATTTGCAGCATGAACTAGAATCAGTATCTGATACATTTATTAACAAATGTCACTTCCCTAAACACATTGTCACTAGAACCTTAGGCAAGTGTAAAACAAACTCAATAACAGAAAAAAAAACAAAAGGAAAACAACATAAACTTCAGGAAGGAAACAAAATGCACAAACTCGGACACTTATAGCTATGTAACCAAAAACATCATAAACATTTGGAAACAAGCATAAAAAAAAAACAGCAGTTATTTTTATTCAAAAACTGAGCATTAAAATCAAAGTTCATCTTAAGAAGGTTTATTCTGACAACTTCGATGACAGAAGTATTTACAAGTATCAATGCAGTCAATGTGATAACACTTAAATAGGCGAAAGAGGATGCAACATAAGCACTAGGATCAAAGAACATAATCCCCATCACACATTTACGAACACAGCACAACAAATCAACATTATAATTAACATTAACAACTTTAAGATAATATGCAATGAGAATAACATTAATAGAAGAAAAATAAAAGAAGCATTAATTATTCATGAACTAAAACCTAATTTAAATTAAAACACAGGTGTCACCCTATATGTTTTCTAAATTGGAACAAAATTTTTGAGTTTGTTGAAATTTGCAATTTTTTTTTTTACTTTCAAGTTTCAGTTTGATTGAGCTTAACATACTCAAAATGATTTCAAGAATCATTTTGAACCCTATCTTTGCTAATGTAGTTGATTAGAATCCTCATACAGAATAATTTACTGCCATATCTATTGGAGTTTTTTATCTATGGAAGATGTATCACTCATTAATATATACCTTTCTCTTGCAGTTCCTGCTCCCACAGCTTGCATGAGTTCACTGAGTCTAATGGTTTAATAGATGAACCAATCACTATACAACTGTGATGTATTACTCACACACCCTACTCTCACAGTAGGCAAGGGGTCTATAGTGACTGATGGTTGAGTAGAGGTTATATATATATATATATATATCCATAACCACATATTTCAATACAGTACCCTCTTCCCTCAGCTGGCATGGGGACCATAGTGACTGACAGTTGAGGAGATGAGCACAGATACTTATCAAAAGTGCCCTTCTCCTATAGCTTGTTTTGACCCATCAAGTTTTATGGTAGAGGAAGTGAGCACACAAGGTTCTATCAGAATGAACCCCAACCTCACTGTACATATTGAACATCTGATGGCTTGAGTGCAAGTACTCGGATGGTCATATACCTATTCCTCACACAGTCTCTACTTATACACGGGCAAAGAGTATACCCTGGATGAGACAAGATCTGGTCTCCCTGAAGTGTGCTCCTATGGAGCCCTTACCATCGGGTACCACATCCAATGGGCTTCCTTCGTACACTTTCTAAAATGAGCTCATGTAGGTCATCTTTTCACCAGTCCCTCCGCAATCTCAGTGTGGGATTCTAGCTATCTGTGTATGCAACAGTCCTTCCACCATCTCAGCGTAGGATCTGTGTATGGAGGTGTGTATTCATTTCAGAAGTTAAAATTTTTCTTACCTTAAAAATTTATTTCCAATAGATATCTCTGTACGTGCTCTCCCCATCCTCCCCACTATCCCAGGCATTTGCTTTTATTGCCTTGTCAAAGACTGAAGATCTTCGTGTGCAAATGTAGAGGGAGTATTTGCACACGGAGGTGTTTTGCACTTGTATTTGTGGAGTGTTTTGCTGCGTGATACATTATGATGTAATAGTACAAATTTATGTGATCACAAGAAATTAGGTGGGAGTTCTTCCAAGGTTGGTGGCATGCAAATCTCTCGGGCAAAATGTGTGAACTCAAGAGGATGTAGCTAACTGTGTACAAAGGTATCTATTGAAAAATATTTTAAGGTAAGGAAAATATTAATGTCTACACCTAAATTCATATTTTAGTATTTGTAAACAAGATGTCTGTTTTCAGTTTTTTTTTAAATCATCACTTAAACACTCATAGCAATTGCATTTTCACTTTCTCGGCAGTATTATAACCTCTGAAGAATGAAAAATCAATTTTGTAACAACTATATATTATAAGAGCTGCAGTTGGCCTAAGCAATACTGACTTTGATGAAAATAAATCTCTGAAGTTTGGAACACACACACATTGCTAGTGTGTCTAAAAAAAGCCAAGGCACCAAAATTTAAATGACATTTGTACTGTTATATTGTTTGAAAATAATCAGTTAGTGGCTCAGGTCATAAATGGATTGCCATAAACTCCAGTTGTGTTAACTTCAGAAAAACTGGAAAAAACATTTTTACAGTAATTAATAGACCAATAAAATATAACACTGACATCTAATATTTCTCTTTGATACAGTTTGCTGTGTTTTTATTATTTTCTGAAAACAAATAGAGGGGGGGATTTGACACCCTAGATCTGTTCCTACTTATACAACATTATATAATAGTTATTAGTTTCTGAAAACAATAGGTGTAAGGGGTGTGAGTTTGACCCTCTTGGAACCCTCCTCTAAATCTGCATCTGATTATATAACATTAAATATAGTTATTAATTCTGAAAAACAATATGTGGGGGTTTGCCCCCTAGACCCTTTTATGAGATCCATGCCTGCTTATACAAAATTAAATAATACAGTTATGCAGTTATTAATTAGAATAATAATGCAGCCTAAAAAAAAACAGTAAATTTAAAATGTATTTAATACTTAAGTAGCCAGAGAGTTGGCAATAGATGCTAACAACCAGTTGCTTTCCTTCTAGTCAGCAGTTCAAAAATAGTGACTGTGATAGATAGTCTTAGTAGCTTTGAATTAACAAATTAATGAGGAAATGTTGTGGCAATAGGAATCGAACCCCAAATCTTCAATTCACAAAGCATACCCCAACATGCCCATTATGTTTGTTTGTTTGTAGTTAATTAAGCAAAAAGCTTCACAATAGGCTATCTGTGCTATGCCAGCCATAGGTATCAAAATCTGTTTTTTAGCAGTATTAGCCTTCAGACTTACTGTGGAGTCACTTGGGGGGGGGGGGGGAGAGCTCATTATATAGATATGCACTTTAGAAACAAATATAATGATAATACTTACAATACTTGGATATTTGGAACAACTGAAAACAATGAATAATAGAAACCTGAATTTTGATTAGTTAATTATTTTTTTGACAGTCGATTGAATCGTAATTTCAATTAATCATTTGTTGGAATATTGAAAACTAAAAATTGGAACAACTAATTTTGATGTTAATTATTTTAGTGACATTAGTCGATTAATTTATGAGACATTTATCGATGTAATTGCTGCTCATAGGTAATATATTAAATCATCCAACTGTAATCAGTATAGACAACCATTAAGTATATCTTAATCTTGTCTTTTCTTAATTTGGAAAAGAGAAATTTAAGATGGAACTGAATAATTTTCTTGAACATAAAAGGTAGGTTTTAGTTTTACTTTTCTTTAAGGGTGAATATGCAAGGACAGACGTGAAGGACCAAATGGTCCTTTATTGTCTGTATATTATACTTGCTGAAACATTTATTCCAAGTTCAAACACTGCCAAAACTTCTAGCTTAACCCTTTCCAGACAACAAAATAAACAAGAGAGATTACAGCAGTGGTTGGAGGAGAAAGAAAAGAAACAGGAAGAAGGAGAAAAGAAACAAGAAGAGAGACTACAACAGTGGCAACTAGAACAAGAAAGGAAACAGGAAGAAAGTATCCAACAGTTGCAGGAAAGTCAGCAGCAACTACAGGAAAATCAACAACAATGGGAAGAAGTACAAATGGAAAACATTAGTAAATTTAAAAGCGAATTAGATATGTTAAAGGACGATTAAGTCGATGGTTAATGTATCCTCCTTGTGTAAAAGACAATAAACCCAGCCCCAGACAATGACAAGCACCTTCCAGACTTTGCAGCTAAACCCTAATGCAGACATCTTCAGCCCCGTTAGATGTCACATCCCAGATATGAATGTTAGTAATAGGAGTGCGAACGAAGCCACAGGAATATGATGGGAAAGCACCGGGGGAAGCATATAGAGCACAGTTTGAGCTACTGGCTACTGTTTGTAGAGAATGTTGAATTTGTTATAACATTTTTTTAACCAGTAGACTTTTTTTTAGGATGACTTGATTGATGATGTTGAATCCTTTGTGGCAGCAGCTGAATTGTTGAACATAATGTGGAATTTATCAGCTTATGTATCCTCCTCCTACCATGTTTACAATGAGAATTTCTCAGAGTAATAAGATTGCTTTTTGAATCTGTGAAAACATTTATAACATTATATGGTTTACAGCCAATCCAATAAA